TCTTTCCAGATCTTCCACCAAACTCAGGGCTGCCCCAGAGAGGGGCAGTGTGCTCCAGGCACAGAGAACCCCACAGATTTCCCTCCCAGACTTGCCCCACAGGTCAGGGCAGAGTGGAAAATGCTCCTGGGAGAAAGCATCCTAAAGGCTGATGCAGGCCTCTAGCGAGGCCCACCTCTGGGATCCCCAGGCCCCAGATGACCCAGGTGACCAAGCTATCTTCTCCCAACCAAGGCTTGCTGGGCGGAGGGGCAGCGATGGCTGTGCCATGCTCGGCACTTGGTCATTTTAGCCCCTACTTGTTTCAGAAGCAGGATCAGAAAGGCCTAAGGAGCAGATCAGCCCTGGTCGGAGCTGGGGTTTGGACCTGCCTCTAAGCCAGGCTTTCAGGTGGATGAAGCTCATCACCACTGCCCTCCTCCAGGAAGCCTTCCTGACTTACCAGCTGGGTAAAGACCCTCCTCCCCAAGTAGGCCACTGATCCCCACCCACTTTGGCCTCTAGCTGTTGACACCGCAGACTTCAGCAAGCTGAAGGCACCTAGTGAGTCCCCAGCACCTGCAGCCTAGTTCACAGCACAAGTCCAGATAAGATTTGCTAAGTGCTGCTGCAGGGAGCACCCAGTCTTCCCAATCCACACCTACCGGCCATGAGGGGTCTCACCTCAATGGCTGAGTGAGGTCGATTGTTAGCACCAGGGATAGTGGACTCAGGGGGCCTGTGAGTCCAGCATCCTCATTACAACAGTACAGAGGAGGAAACTGAAGCAACAGGCACCCGTGGACCATTACTTTCAGGTACCTGCAACCTCACTGTCACAACAGGTGGCCCCTCAGGACACAGGGGTGGAGGTGCCATGTCTCAGAACCCTTACTTCACTCTCCCCTCCTCCTCTAGCCTGAGCCCCAGCACAAGCACAGGGCAGGACTTCCACCCCTCCTGGACTCAGGCTCACCTGGGCTCCTCACACCACATGAGCAAGGCATGGCAGGCTGTCCTTATTAGCAAGCAAGCATCGCCTGGCCTCGCAGGCCCAGGTCAGATACTGCCCGGCCTTCCTGGGTCTCCGTGGATGCACAGGCCCTGGCGCCCAGATGGCCCAGCTGCCCTGGGGCCTGTGGGTGGCCTGAGAGCCACTATCCCTCTCCAAGGCAGTACCTGCCTCAGAACCCCATTCTAAGAAGCAAATGGGGTAATATTCTAAAGCAGTGGCCTTCAAACCAAACTTCACAAAATAAATGTTTAAATACTGTGTGTCTATTTGCACATTTCCAAGCTGACATCTAAAATTTCTCATCATAAGTTTAAATACTTGTAGAGGATGTAATTTCCAACATATTATAAATATTAACATTTCAAACAAAACGGTTACTGTTTCTCTTTTAAATGGATCCAGTGGAATCTAAATACCGTTGCAATTTGAGATTCACCATCATCTATCTTAGAATTACAGAATCAGACTCTCCTAAACACTTGGAAAGTTGGCAGTGTTCTTTCTGCCTCCCTAAGCTTCAATTTCCAATACACATCCCTCAGAAATGCTTCTATTATCAATGTATTTTATGTTCGAAAGCATTTTACTGATTGGTCTATTAGACTGCTAGGTCAAAAAAAATACATATATAAATGCTTTAATTTTTTAATTACATGTGACCACAAAGCTCTAAGTGTCAAAATTGTCTTCTGGACTGAACTGTTATAACAATTACTATTAGTACATAATTGACCAATATGACAGAAATGTATATCAAATTTGTATAAGTAATAAACATTAAAAATTACACCTTACTAGAAATACATCTCTGAAGGGATGGAAGGGACTTTTAAAAAATTATTTCATGTAGCCACAGATAAATATCACCTATTGCTAGAAGAAGGCAGTTTGCTATCAATTCTATCTTATTTTTCAATTTGTTTAGATACAATTGCTGAAACTACTACTTCAAATAAAAAGATGGAATGGAAAAAGATTTACCGTGGCAAGTTCTCTGAATTTCTTTGGAATTATATTTCAAAATTATTTATTTTTGTAATTATTATCAAAAGTCATTTTTGTGTTCTATCAGCTGCAACTCAATTGGATCCTCTTTCAAATTTTGCAAACAAAGAACTGGAAATACCACACTTGCCCCAGGTCCAGGACAACTGGCCACGTGGCGCCCAGCAGGGTTTTCTGCCCGGGTGATACACCAGATTCATATCCGCCTGTGGATAATGAGCGCGTAAACAGCCAGCTTCCTGTGCGTTAGGCACAGTGGAACTGCTTCACCTCAATTAACTGATCCCAGGGGACAGGGACTATCAGCCCCATTTTACAGACCGAGAGACTGGAACACCAAGTGGTTGGCCAAATGGCCCAAGGTCATACAGCCAGAAACGTGAATGCAGGTGACCTTGCTCCTCAAGTGTGTGCTGCACAGCCTCTGAGAAATTAGGAGGAGGGTCTGTGAGCAAGGGGCCGCTGGTCCCAAGCACACCAGCAGCCAAGGGAAGGAGCACAGGAGGAAGCTGAGATATGCAAATTGTGTGCTCCCACCCCCACCTTGGAGAGGTTACACACAAATACTTCTTTCCCAGTAGCACCTAATGTTACCACTCATACTGTTACTACTGCCACTAAACAGCAAGAAGACAAATAACTCCCATGACAGGGACAAATATGCAGGATCTTACCAGCATTTTACAGTCTTGGCTCCTGACCCTAGGTCCAACATCCTTTTTTTTTAATAGTAGCCAAAGCCCAGGTAATAAGAGGCCTGGAAGCAATAATGGAGCAGTCTGTTGACATGCAGAGGAGACCCAGTTAGCAGAGAACCATGGGCTGTGGAAACAAACCAACCTGCCATCAAATCCCAACTCTACTACTTGCCAGCTGAGTTCCCAAGAGCAGTCACAACACTCTGGGCCTCAGTTTCCTCATCTCTAAAATGGATGTGAAAACACCATTCATGCCACTGGTGGCTGCACAAAATGGGACAGTGTCATCAGGGAATCTAACACAGGAAATACTGGGTGGCAGCTGGCGGACTGCTTATTCCCATCCTTTTATATCACTGACACCTAGTGACTAGCGAGAAGCCTGTCACCTGCACCCAGCGGCCCCCCAGCCTGGGGATCTGGTGCCCAGTGGCACGGTTGATGTGAAAAACCAGCCAAGTGGCTTGGCTTCCAATCCTCGTAAAAGGCCTTTCTCTCTGTCTTGAAATTTCAAGTTCTCCAAACACTCAGGGATGCCAGGAGGAGGTGAACGTAGAAGTGTCGTGGTGGATTTTATTCTTAGATGCTGGCAGGGAAAGCACCCAGTTTGGCTTCCACTCTGGTCCCAGCCACCACTTCCTCTCCCAAGACATCACCAAAATGAACAGCAGACACATCAAGAAAAATGTCCTAACTCTTCTTGTACCTGGTACATTCAACAATGGCTCCAGTCTCCCGCGCCGCCCACAGAGGGAGGATTTAGTCTAAATCCTACCAGGAAGCCCTGTAAAGCTAACACGCTGACCCCTCCAGGGTTGTCCCTCACATCCTGAAACTCCAAAGCTCCCTCCACTCTCCTCCTTTCCCTTTTCGTGGTGGGGGTGACACCCCTCTGTGTTAGTCTGAGATCATGTAGCAACAGGAATCAGATATTGGAGGAAGGGCACGTTTCTTCCCTTTTTAGCAGAGTGCTTGTTAGTGAGCATGAGAATTCACTTCCTCTAAAAATGTCTCCCAAAAGAAACTTCCTTGTAGACTCTGACAAGCAGCTGTAGCTAACCAACCACCTGGGCCTTCACACAGCAAGCTCCCACTATAGCTCTATGAGTCCAGGCCTCAGTGGGGGTACAGCACCATCTGCAAAGGGTCCAGGGACTTCCAAGGCAGCCATGAGAAAAGACCAAGACAAAAAGAAGCCAAACCATTCTGGAGCAAGAATGGTCCCCGCGACACCAAACACCAAAATAGCAAACACACAACCTTACCTCCTCTGCCCACTTCAGGACCCCTGGCAGGCATTATCAATCAGTCTTGCCTTCAGCCATTCAGAGATTTAGAATCTTCCAGGCAGCCATTACCAGTCAATCAGAAATGGCTTTGAAAGTGCACTTCTTAGCCATTCCTGACTTCTGACTCTCCGCTTTTGATGTATGGAGAAATTAAGGTGCAGAGAAAGGCTGAGTGCAGATCATTCTACAACTCTGCAGAATCAAGATACGACTGGATGAAGAATCTACAACTGATGAGAGGCTTCCAGAAACTACCTCCACGGCTGCTGTCAGAGCCTGTACATCTATTTCGAGGTCACAGAGCCCGCCTCAGGCCCTGGGAGAGCTTCTCTCCCCATCCATCCTTCTTTCCTTCCTTCTCCAGCCAACAAGCACCTGGGCCAAGTCCACAACATGTGAAGCAACACAGGTATCAGGAGCCCCCCACTGACTCTGCCCACTGTCCAGGAGCCCAGGGCCCAAAGGAAAGATCAGGCGTGGCCAACTGACAGAAGAAAAGGAGTGAGGTGATCAGGGGAGGGAATGCACCGTGACTTGAGGGGAGGGAGAGAAGAGATGGGGGACCGGAGTGGTCTCAGAGATGACCCCACTCACAAGAATGATCCACAATAGGTGCCAGCCCATCCCCAGGGCCCAACAGCTGAGGCAGGAGCCCAGAGGGCTTGTGTTCCTCTGCAGAGCGTGAGGACAGGCAGAGACAAACCACAGGGCACCAGGACCATGGTTGTCTGGCTGGGTGGCTATGCCCCTCACCCTGCCCACTTCTACCCCCACCAAGAGCCCCACCTCTCTCCCAGAAGGCTCCTTCCACCAACAAAGCCACAGCAACTCCACAAACCCAAGAGACCACCTGCCCCCACCCATGTCCCACTAGGGCGGAAATCACAGAGATTCCGCAGGGGAAGACGGTTAAAAACAAGAGGGCCGAGCGCCAGACTCTTCAGGGAGTGGGGGAAATGAGAGCGCTGGAAGGCCCTTCACCTGGATAATGGTAAGGGTGTGGTCTGTACTCACCTGCACGACTTCTATCCCTCGTTTCCTGTAAGGAAAAACAAAGAAAACGAAGATTACTCAGCAGCCAGGAAGCATCCTCCCAGAACATCCACTACAGCCCCCTGAAGGCAGGAGGCCGAGGCGAGTCGGGGGCTACACCTCTCGAGGCCATGGTCCCCCGAACGCCCCCATTTCCAGGGAGGTTTATGAGCTCCTATGCCATCCTCAGAGCTGCCTTCTGTCAGAGTAGGAGGGCTGGTTCCCTAGCGGGGTTTGGTTGGAGTTCTGCGGAGACCCTAAGTTTGCTCATTCTCCTCTCAGCCAACTGTCTGCCTCTCCAATCCCGGGGCAAGCCCTCTGTGGGCACAGGTCCGGCCCAGATGCCCCAAGACCCTGCACACCACGGTATTCACCAGCGACAGCCTGGCTGACCCTCCTTAACCCAGCTATCTCTTCGATGGCTCCCCCTTTCTTCCCATATCAGGTCTGATGCTGTGGCCTGCCCTCCCAAGGTCAGCCTCGGCCCATCCACCCTCCCAAACCCTTCAGTCTGCTCCGGCTGCTTGTCCAATCCTGGCCATCTCTTGCTCCCGCCCTCTGACCCTGGTCCAGGTGCTTGCCAATTGCCCTCCACGCCTGGACCCTGTCTCCTCCATCACTCACCCACATCCCAAGGCCGCTGTCCACACGCGCCCTAGCTCACCCCACCCCACACAGAGCCCATGGTGAGGGCTGGGGTCTCCAGAGCACACGAAGGCCCCCTGCCAGTTCACCTACACCTCCGCCCCACACTCCTAGAGCACGCAGTTCTGGGCATGCAGGGCTGCGTCCCATCTCCAAGCCATGGTCCACACTTTCCATCCCAGCCTTCAGGATTCAGCACAGTCAGAAATCTCCCAGGAAGCCTTCCCTGACCCACAATACCCTTGGCCCCCAACCACTCACATATCACAGTGCTCCCGAGAACTCAGGGCTACCCTGCCCCGGTCCTGTGTTCCGGAGTACCGATGGGCTGAGCCCGGGAAGGGTGCAGGGAGGGCACCAGGATCTGCATGAACTACAGACGGCATGCCAACAGGGGAGCTGTGCGCATTTTCCTGGGAAGAAAGGCCAGGCCTCCCGCAGACACTCAGAGGAAACGGTGACCAGGAAGGGTCAGAGCTAGAGCAGGGACTGGGGCAGATCCCAGGACCGTGTGCGCCCCACCGGTGCTCATGCGCTCCATAACCCTGAACAGGCCCACGTAGACGGGCACCTGGGCCCCACCCGGCCCTCAGAGGCCCAGCAAATGCAACAGCTCTGGCTCGGGCCCTTGAGAGGCATGTCACAGTCTGAGAGAGGAGGAGGACACAAAGCCCCAGGGAAACCTCTGGGTGACGGTGCGTGGGCACCACCACCTCAAACGCACATCCAACGCATCACCCACAAAGCTGTGTTTGGGGGTCAGTTCACTCATGGTGTTGCCCAGCACCTTCCAAGAGCCCAGCCCCGAGTGGAACCTCAAGAGAGAGCTGTGGCCTGAGAGCCAGGTGGCAGCCACAGGGCTGACCGGCCCCACATCAGGACACACCCGCCACCTTCCCCTCAACTCCCAACACCTCCGGGGCGAGGAGCCTATTTGAAAACCACGGTGACTGATGCTGCTGTCAGGGGCTCCCCGCCACCCCCATTGGCTTCTCTGCACTTCTGGAAGAAATGGCAGCCAACAGCCACACGCTTCCATGACTCCACCAGGGGGCAGACTGGACACGGCAGCACAGCCCTGAGCCCACAGCAGGGGGACCACAGGTGTCGCGAGGAGCCTGCCCCGTCCAGACATCAGCTCACAGCCCACGCCATTTCTGGGCCCTGCTCCATTCCAGGCTGTCCTGGCCCCACGCGAGTGTCAGGGACAGTGACCTACCCATGGTCACTTGGCGCATGACTCTAACTGTCTCCTCGCCCTGCCCCTGCTCCTAGGCAAAAATCTTGAACATCAGAGGAAAAGGCCACACAAGAAGCGCCAGAGGACAGACTCAGGACTGCACAAGGGTAGCCGGCACACGTACGTGAGGAGCACCAGGGGGAGAGGGCTCCCACGGGGCCTGGGCTTCCCCACCCGGTGACCCTCACAGCACCCAGAGTGCCCCGGCGAGCGGCTCTCCTCTCCTCACGAAGCCCACTGCAGTCACTTCCAACCCATCCCCATTTGACATCATCCCAGACCGCTGAAAAACAGGACTCGGACTCTGAAAACAGATAGAACTCTTGAAATAAAAGAAACAAAAAAGTGATCTTGAGTATAGGCTGACGACCTAAAGCTGAGCTCCGCAGAGCCACAGCAGTTTCTACGCAGTTCAGAGCTCCAGGAACAGGATATAAACTGCATTCTGGCAAAGAGAGAAGGCTCACTTCCCTTTTCGGTCCACACAAGGCCACATGCGTACACCAGACTCCCTCACGGTGAGGGGCATGCTTGCTCTCACTGACGCTGCTGCAGCCCCACAGGGGGGAGCAGCGGTCATCTGCTCCTTGGAGGCCCAGTATCCTCAGAAGCACGCTGCCAGCCGGGCCAGGCTCCCCGGCAGCACAGCGGGCATGGAGGGGTGGGGAGCGGGTGCTGAGAAGGGCAAGCCTGGCCCCCATGCTCTGGGGCCTCAGTGTAAGGGGGAAGATGTGGAGGGAGCAAGCAGAAAACCAGTCCCCCCATGGTGGTGGGATCCCAGGCACACCACCGAGCCCACTCAGGAAAATAACATGCAGACCGGCCAGAGCTGACTTGATCTGGAACTTCTGCAGAACAAAGGTACTGACAACCTTCATTTCCCAAGCAGCAGGCCCCTGAAATCCTGAAAGTTCAGAAATCAAATTGTGACACCAAAGCAAAAGAGGGAAAAGGAGCAAAAGCAGAAGCAGACTGGAGGCAGGGAGAAGGAAAGAGAAACCCAAGAGTTCGTTGTAAAGTGATTAACTGCTCCTCCTGAACACCCCATGTCCACCATTCCACACCACTAACATACTCTAATGTGCAAAAGGTTTGAGGCTATGTCTGCTGACTGCCACAATATACCCTGATAGCACAAGACAAGATGCAACCTAAACCCCTCAACAAGGGCCATTAACAAACCATGCTCAGAGGAGTACTATGCAACAGTTAAAAAGAGCACAAAGCACACCATGTGCCTGTAAGGCATTATCTCCAAACCACTGCAGTGTGGAAAGGCAAGGTCAAAATCCTGTATGCTACACACAATTACTTGGCTTAAGAACAACACCCAGGACAAGAATGTGTGCTGGTACAGACATAGAATGAATCTGAAAATGCTATGGTAAATGACCACACTGTGACCTCTGGGCAACAGGGAGGGTGGCTGGGGGATGGGGTGAGAAGGAGACTTCCTTCTCACTGCACACACGCATCTCTTGAATTTTGTGCCATGTGCCTCTAAAAGAGTCTCAAAAATTAGAGAAATATGTTTTTTAAATTACCTTTTAAGTACTAGGTAAAACTCCAGTTGCCAGTATTCCCAGTGGCTGGCATAAAATAGATGTTTGATAAAGGCATGAAACAATCAATCAATTAAGTGAAACAGAAGAGCTCAGGATTTATCTAGAAAAACTTTCAAATTCTGCTCAAAGAAGAGCTGAGATAACCCATTCTGGGACCACTAGCCTGTCACGTGTCAGAGTATTCAGTTCAGATTCTAAGCCCATTTAAACACTCAGATACCTGGAAAACACACCAGGAGGGAAGACACCGCACTGTTAACTGTGGCTGCAACAGGAAAGTTGTGTGGTTTTTTTTCCCTTTACACTGTCTTGTATTTTCTAGTTTTCTACAATGAGCATAGATACTACTTCCAAAATAATAGAAAACATAACATTAAAAGTTAAATAATTAAAGAATTTTATTAAAAACTTGCACCTGGAGAAAAATGTTACAGGCCCTAAAACTGTTTTCTTGATAAACAGTTTATGAGTAAGTTTTGCATGGAAGCCCGCAACTCATAAATATAAACCTTTTTCCAAAAGCTGGATAACCTATGAAGGGAGGCTCCATTTAGCAGAAGGACCCCTCCTCCTCGGAAGTCCAAGGAGAGCACAGCCTTGGGGAATTTTAAATACAGACAAAATGATTTATCATGTCAGGGGAGGATGGGGAACAATCAGAGAAGACTTCAGGGAGGAGGTGGCATTTACCATTTGAACAAAAATTAAAGAAACTACAGACAGACCTTGGGGAGGAGAAGTTAAAGAGGACTAATATGAGTGCCCCCTTCCCATTAGATGTCTGGGGACGTGGGAACATAAGACCCGCTGCAAGGGCAGGTGTGGGCACACCCCAGAGGCCCAGAATGTCACAGGCCAGCCTGGCCTTCACCCCGTGGGCCAGTGGGTTCTACATGCCAAAGCAGATGACTGGGAGCCAACACTAGAGCTTGCCAAAAATACTAATTCATGGCATAGTCCTGGCGATTCTCATTCCAGAGGTGTAGGGCAGAGCCTGGGGGGAATTGGGGTTTGTCAGGCTCCCAGGTGTTGCTCAGGAGCAGCGAGGTACAGGGCAGCTTGTGCAAGTGCCTGGGGAGCAGCGGGACGAGGTTTGCTGGAGGCAGGCTCACTCAGGGGCAGCGGCCCTTCCGGGTCTCAGAGACAGGAATACAGGACACGAGACCCAGACACAGCTGTGGTGCCCCCGCTGGGTGCAGTGGACTGAGGAGAGCACAGGAGAGCGCACCACAGCAGTACAGGGGCTCTTCCATGGTGTCCGCCGAGGTGGGTGCTCAGAGATGGTCAGAGATCCAGGATGGGGTGGAGCAGACAGCTCAGGGTTAGAACGACACGACCTGGGAGGCAGATGGAAGAGGCAGAGGCGGTGGGTGTGCCCGAGAGGAGACCATGAACCAACCCCGGCTGGACCCTGTGCCTCGGTTTCCTCATCTGTCCATGAGGAGAGTCCTGGAGCCCACCCCAGCTGTGAGCTTGTTGCTTTCGCTCTGCCCTGCCTCCTGCCTTTCAGAACCAGCTCTCCTCGGTCCCACGTGATTCTGGTGGCAAACAACTGAG